GAGCTAACGGTAGTGCTGGATACCGAAAGGTACAGGAGTAGTACCTCGCCCGGGATTGGTTTTGATAACAGTGGTGCCTGGCCCATGTAGCTCTTCAAGTTTTGAAACGCCTGATCGCATTCGGGAGTCCATGTTATATGATGTTTGCCCCCTTTCAAAGCTTTGAAGAACGGCACGCATTTATCGGTAGCCTTGGAGATGAAACGTGTTAGGGCAGCGACACGTCCGGTAAGGCTCTGAATGTCCTTCTGCGTCTTCGGCGTCTCCATGTCGATTATAGCTTTGATTTTCTCAGGATTGGCCTCGATACCCCTTTGACTGATCATGAACCCGAGAAATTTACCGGAAGATACACCGAAGGCGCATTTTGCCGGGTTTAGCCTCATTCGGTAATCCTTTAGAATACCGAACATGAGGGCCAGGTTTTCCAGGTGATCCCCTGCCGTTCGGCTTTTTACCAACATATCATCAACATACACCTCCATGATGCCGCCGATGTATTTGGCAAAAATTCGGTTGACGAGCCGTTGGTAAGTTGCCCCTGCGTTTTTCAGGCCGAAGGGCATGACATTGTAGCAGTACAGACCGCGGTCCGTGATGAATGCCGTATGTTCTCTATCGGCAGGGTTCATGAAGATCTGGTTGTATCCTGAATACGCGTCCATGAAACTGAGCAACTCGTGCCCGACGGTGGCATCGACGAGCTGGTCGATCCTCGGTAAGGAGAAACTGTCCCTCGGGCACGCCTTATTCAGGTCGGTATAGTCCTGACACATTCACCATCCTCCCCTGGCCTTCCGGACCATGACCGAGTTGGCAAGCCAAACAGGGTACGTAGCTTCCCTAATAAAGCCGATGGCTTTGAGCTTGTCAACTTCGGCACGCATCGCCTCGTACCGTTCGGCATCGTACGATCGGCGCTTTTGCCTTACCGGTTTGTGGGCGGGGGAGATGCTGAGTTTGTGGCTGATGACATCAGGTGATATGTCGGGCATATCATCATAAGACCAAGCGAAGACTTCTGCTTGCCGCCGCAAGAAGTCGATGAACTGTGTTCGGAGGTCGGGGTCCAGATTCGTGCCAATCTTTACCCATCGATCAGGGAACCCCTCGCTCAGGACTACGGTCTCGAGCTCCTCGGCGGGCTGCGCCATTGGTGCCGGGTTTTCCTCCCTGGGGTCGTCAATAGGTTCACTACCGTTCGGTAGTCCCTGCAAGGTCATGGCCTCCATGGGCGGTCTGCTAGCTACCGTCTTAAGGGCCGTGGCATAGCATGTCCGTGCGCTGAGCTGGTCACCCCGAATGGCTCCGGTACCGTTGCGCGTTGGGAACTTCATTAGCAACATGTGGGGCGACAAGTGGACTTTGACCTTGGTGAGTGCCGTTCGTCCAATGATGACGTTGTATGCCGTCGGGCAATCGACAATGAGGAATTGGTCGTAGGTCATTGTTTTCCTGGGGGTGACGCCGAAGGCGATGGGCAGGCTAATGCTACCGACTGGTTGGACCAGATCTCCAGAAAAGCTGAGTAGAGGTGTAATTTGCCGATTGACCATGCTGTCGGCAATT